AATTAACTCTTCTCAATTTTGTATTTTGTTTATTATTACTTGCTAGCTAGAGACTTTGAGTTAGCTTATACTGTCTAAATACTTAAATTCATTGCATAACCACACACACAATATATATATATGTATATATTATATATATATGGAGATTCTACGGTCCGTTACGGAACCATTTCATCGAAGTTTGTAACCGTTAGATCAACTATCCACGACGGTTACATGATGATCTAACGGTTACAAATCCCAACGGAATGGTTTCGTAACAGAACTGTAGTATTTTCCGTGGCTGAAAATATTCGCTGGGGAATGCTAATTCAGATTGTGATTTCACAACTACTGCCACTTAAAATATTCAATTAGCTGAATTTGTTGGCCTGAAATATATCAAAGTTTGCCCTAAGTAACAAGTCACTAGCCATAAAACTAAAAATGGAAGGTACAACAAAATTAATTCTATTTCATGATTTAATTTCCTGTCCCCTTAAACATGATAATGACTAACTTTCACTCACATTAGTTCAATAATCCAATTTCTTAGGGACAATCTACAAAATATATGTCTTTGTCTACTAGCCATATTACCTAAATTTCAAAAAATTCGATATGAGCGCAGTGCCCTCATTGATAGAGTCGAATTTACATTTGTAAACTAATTTAGTAATTTTTTTTTTTATTTAATCCAGGTGGTAATGAAAAATACAACTCGATTATGCTCTACAAAACCCATTGTAACGGTCAACGGTAATTTTCCGGGTCCCACCATTTATGCGAGGGAAGACGACACATTGCTAATCAAGGTTGTCAATCACGTCAAGTATAATGTCTCGATCCATTGGTAAGCAACCTTATATACACGATGATTGTTATGCATGATGATAACTAATTAAATTTGTTCATTAAATTAGATAAAATTCGTGAGATTAATTACCGTGATGATTGTATATATGTAGGCATGGAATCCGACAACTCCGAACCGGGTGGGCCGATGGACCTGCATACATCACACAGTGCCCTATTCAGCCGGGTCAGAGCTATGTTTATAATTATACAATCACGGGTCAGAGGGGCACACTCTTCTGGCACGCGCATATTCTCTGGTTGAGGGCCACACTGCACGGCGCTATCGTCATCCTGCCCAAGCGTGGGGTTCCTTACCCTTTCCCCAAACCCGACCACGAAAGAGTCATAATCTTAGGTAAAACCGAGCTATAGCAATATCACGATTTCTTGGAAAAAATTACCATTTTAGTCTACTAACTTAGAGTGTTTCCCACTTTTGCCCAATAACTTATTACTTATTGAGGTATGATATTAGTTCAATAACTTTTTAGTTTAGTCAATTTGGTCCAATTTCGATCTTGAACACCGAAATCAACAGTTATTTGGTTCAAAATTGGTTAATTGACTCTTAAATTTTAGAGTTATTAGACCAAATTGGCTAAAATGTAAGAGTTATTAGACCAATATCATACCTCAATAAATTACTAGGCAAAAATAGGAAAACACTCTAAGTTAGAGAACCAAAACTATTATTATCCCATTTTTTTTTTACTAAGTTGTGGCATGTATAATAGTGATATTATATCATCATGCGTTCAACATACTTCATATTTATTTGAATGTTTTATGAATAATTAAGGTGAATGGTGGAAATCGGACACCGAAGCCGTCATCAACGAGGCTATGAAGTCTGGCTTGGCGCCTAATGTTTCAGATGCTCACACGATCAACGGCCATCCGGGGCCCGTCCCTAATTGTTCTTCCACCGGTAAAAAATATCTCAAGATTTCGGTCGTATTAAATACTAAACATGTTTATTATGTAAAATAAAGAGAAATGTTACAGTCCCGTTACGAAACCATACCGTTGGGATTTGTAACCGTCAAATCGACTATCCTCGACGGTTACATGATGATCTAACGGTTACAAACTCCGTTGGAATAGTTCCCTAACGAACCGTAACATCTCCCTAAAATATAATATTATTTATATCATTTGCATGACTACCCGTTATAAGCAACAAAAATTTTACCAATTTACCACGTGCATAAACAATAAAAATTAAAATCATCTGCCCGCAATTTTAACATCGGTTATATTAATTAGTGAAACCCGTTCGTAAAAGAATCTATAACCAAAATTTTCAGACGGGTATACACTCGGCGTCGCCGCCGGCAAAACATACCTCCTCCGCCTCATCAACGCCGCCTTGAACGAGGAACTCTTCTTCACGATCGCCGGCCACAAACTCACGGTGGTCGAGGTCGACGCCACCTATGTCAAGCCCTTCCACACCGACACCATCCTCGTTGCCCCCGGCCAGACCACCTCCGCCGTCCTCACCGCC